AGACCAAATCTTTTTAGTTCCCTTTGACCTAACTTAACGTGGCCTTGTCTACTCTAACGATCCTTAGCTAACGTGGTTTTAGTGCTAACCCCTGACCTTAACCAACCATAACCTCGTCTAACTCCATTAAAATTCACATGACAAGGTCACGTTGGGTGAAGATCTTTGATTGAAGGAATGAAAAGTTCCACAATTCTAATGATATAAATGGTGCCTTTCGTTGCAATCACCAGTCCAATTTGATGGTAACCAAGGAACAAAATTCATAAGTTCGAACGTATCTTCCATTTTATTTATATATGTATATATTGAGAAGGTATTGAATATTGCAGTGTTTTATTTAACTGAATTACATGTCTCTCATCGAGCTAAATTGCTTTAGATTGATGCATGCCTTTAACTTTAATTGAACCTTCGTATCAGCAGTCGATCTCCAACTTCGCTCTTCAAGGTCTATTTGAACTTGATAGGTTTCTCTTCATGTGGGAGGGGATTACTAATTTAGTTGGAAAATTGTGAAAAGATACATTGTTGGATATTTTTGGATATTGAATTTTCGCTATACTGAGTGGAGGATATTACTTTAGTTTGACGGGAGGGTTGAAGTTAGTTCAGTTTGCACCATTTGCCGTTGGTTCCAATTGGACGACTTGATCCTTGATGCTTCCAATACTAGACCCCGAGCTTCCCCAGTCAAGTTAGGCATTTACAGAATGTGGGTGACTTGAGTTGATGTAGCAAAAGGTCAAAAGTTTGCTCCGTGGTTGGTTTCCTGAGAGAGAGGAAAGCGACAGCTTTAGAGAGGTGAGTCGACCTTTCACAACTCCTGTCTTGATTGTTTATTCTTCAAAGTTCATTTTTCTTTCATTCTTACATTTTTTCAATTTTTACCTCTGTTGGCAGGTTGGTTCAGGCACTTGCCAATTGTGGAGGAATAGCAGACAGATACCATTGTCTGGGTCATTGCCTGGCCAGGATGGCCTCATCTACCATATGGGCTTCGCATCGGCTCCGAGTCCACTTGCTCCTGCTACTCCATTTCCGCTCCGGGTGTAAGGTGATATAGTTATTTTACGTCTCTCGGGCCCTCCTCCCTGCCGCTCTTTTCAAATCTGCAGCCCGGTTACTTCTGGGCTGCAGAGGCGCTGTTCCCCTTGGCTCGGCCCTGGCTGCTGCCCTGCCGTTTCCCCCCTGGCGTCTTCGGCTGGCTTCCAGCCGCAAGTCCGCCGCGCGGTTGCTCCGCACCTGCCATGTCCCCCCTGCCTCCTGGACTGCTGCCTTTACTGCGGCCGCAGTTATTGATATACGCCTGCCGCCTGGAAAAAGTAATATATATTTGCATTTACTCACTGTTTCTCACTTAATGTTACATTCTACCTTTCACATTCAATCGGAAAACTTCGATTGATATGGATAATATATTTTAATGCTTTGGTGTCCTTTAATTTATAGCTTTCTTCTGCAAGTTTTTGTATCACTTAATAGTTTTCCTAACAGATATGCAACCAGGTCAGCCGTAAGGCTCTCGCGGAAGTCCTCAATTAGACGGGAATATTTTTTTCCCTGTTTTCTTTAAATACGAACACCCTGTATTCGTGTCGTTATTACATCTGTCAGGTAAAAAGATAAATGTTTTTATGCAATTAATTTTAAAATGTCATCGAGCCTACTAGCACAAAGCATCAAATTACAGCGTCGGCGCCGGGACCGCCTGTGGCCAATCTGTCGGCTCGTCTCCTTGTAGGATAATCTAGTTAGGGCCCTGAGATTGTAGGGCGTGCTGTTGCTTCTCCCCTCTTCCTGCCGATCTCCGGCTGTAATAAAGATGTAAAACATCAATTTGGTTCAAGTGAGCCATGAAGTGCTTGTTTCATCAGCAGGCCGATCAAGTTTGTGCGAATCACAAATTCTGCATTTGATTTCTTGGATACATTAAATCCCGAAGGATCTCACAAAAAAGAGCAAAAAATAGTTCAGATAAATATCCTCGGAAGCATTTCTTACAGCGTGACATGCAGAATATATATTTCTACATCTTCAACAATTTAAGAAAATGCCGTAGATAATGATGGAATCAAATGTACCACAAGTGACTTTTGCACGCAGACAGATTTCGAAGATGCAATAACTGCGTATGCACTGAAATGGACAAACTCCAAGGGGCTGCATCAAGTGGGTTCGCATAACCATGGAAAGTTTGACATTTTGACACCCATGCGATGGGAGTAGCTCAAATATTGGCGTTCATGTTTTTTCCAGCGGGGCTTGCTTATTTTATCTTGGAGTAGTAACTAATAAAGACTTACTGGGCAGGTGGGCCTGGAGCTGTTCGGGGTCCTGGGGCATCTCGGAGGCCTGGAGTTGTTCGGGGTCCTGGTGCTGCTCGGGGGCCTGGGGCCGCTTGGAGGAAAATTGGAGCAAGTGGAGGTCAAATTCCTCGGCCACCACCCTCCGCAGGTCGGTGACCGAGACGATAAAGTTGAGCCGGAGTTGAGACAAGTCGTCGGGGGCCGCCCTGTCCCTCCCGAAAGCTTCTGGTTCGCGCAAAATCCTGCACAAAAGACAGCAGACACTCAGGCAAAGTTTGTAGCAAGAGCACTTAACGAAAGGATAAGAGGGGACGAACAGGCGGGCATCCATCACTTCTCCCACGATTGCCCGCAGGTCAGATACTGATATACTGACCGGGCAATCAGAGGAGGGAGCCGGAGGCACCCCCATCGGCGATGGGGTGCATAAGGGTGAGCTCGTCTCGCACGCCTGCACGAAAGACAGGTCAGATAAGGAAATCATGACCGGGCAATCGTTTGGGGTCGGATATGAAGACCTCAGAGGTGAGTGTATTGGAGACTCCATCGGCGATATTCTGGGAGACCAACTTGGGGAACCGACCGAAGATCCCACCGAGGAGACGTCCGTAGCCACCCGAACATCCCCGTAAGGGTGAACTCGTCTCGCCCGCCTGCACGAAAGACAACAGACAACTCGGGCAAAGTTCCCAGCAGGAGCACCTCAAGGAAGGAAATGCCTTCGAAAAACTGGGGATTCTGCCATTTTTCCCTAGGCAGAAGCGAAAAAAACAGGTCAGTCATATTTCATCGAACGTTTTTTTTTTTTTCGATTCAACAGCTTTAAATGCACGAATCTTTTCGGGAAAAAAAGTCATTGGTATCCATTTCAGACCACTAGTCGCATATCATGCCGTGTGCCAAATCTGCTAAATTCCAGGCGGTGAAATACGTGTGCGGCTCAAAAACTTAAGAAGAAAAGGGTGAAAAAAAGTGGCGTAGGAATTTTTTTTTTTTTCCATTATCAAACTTTTTCGAACCTTCCAGCAGAAATAACGCATTTTTATCCGTTACCCATAATATTTGCACGTACCACTTTGCATGTCCAGCGCTCGGCGAAACAGAATGCCCATATTTGCAAGGAATGCTCAACTGAAACGCTATTTAAAAAAAATTTGTCGGAGGTGATTTCAGACCTGAATTGAGTTATTGGAACAAGTATTACGGCCGGTATTGGAACACAACCCGCCTTAATTCAATATCCTTTTTTGCATTTTTTAGTTCTCTTGCCATGGTAATTTAAATTTGTATGTTTCATATCTCGTTTTTGTTTTGTATAAATTAACCATATCACACCGTATGCTGTATTGATTTAACTAGGTAACTAGGTTACTAGTTAGTGTAATTAGAAAAAAGTATTTAGGCGGAGGGAGGCCTCCAATGGAATCGAACTATAACGAAACTCCGAAAGTCGAAGCGGGGAATGTAACAAAAGGTGGGAAAAAAAAACAGGAGAAAAAACTAGAACCTGCATTCCCAGACAGACTGGTGTGGACTAGCTCAGTTTCGCGCAGGATCTGGAGTTTTGAATCCCCACTTTTCTTTCGGATGAAAGCCTGCATGCAGGAAATTCAGCGACTCGGTTCGATGCATTTTTGTGGCGAAAAAATATTTCCTCCATGTGATGCGTCTTCGTCGCATCGAACTTATCGAACTGATACATGGTTTAAGGCAAAATCATCGATGAAATTGAAATATATTTGGCCTAATGGGCAAGGCCGGACCATGAAAGGGTACAGGAAACAGGCAGATTCAGACTGATTTTTTCAAAAATATTTTCGAGGGCACCAACCGATTCGAGGCTATAGGCTACAAATACTGGCTTTCTTTAACGTCAAACAAACCCAATTTAGGAGAGATAGCAGGCCTTTCAGCGAAGGAACCCTGTCTCCCATAGGAATCCATGTAATCTTCCATGACTGTTAACTGTCTATAGTGTAGCAGTCTGATCTAACCATACTGGCGAACCGTGGTGCACCACCAACGCACCAAACGGAATATTAACATCGTGTGAAACTGGACTCGAAGAATGGAGTTACATGGGTTACTTGAAAGTTACGTTGAAGTGGTTAGAAGGGAATCCTTCGAGAGGCACGAGCCACTGGCACAGGACGGGGAATTTGATGGGGCGATGAAGTCAACCACTCAGGCGGTTGCGCGTGAATCCTTCGACTATCGATGCATTGCCCCGAGGGTTCATGGGGGAGGGAGGTTAACATGGGTCTAGACGATGCGCAGCCACCACCCGCTCCACTAGGCTATGGACGCATTTTGGCTTGGCGAACGCTTCTTAGGCGACTCGGCACGGTCGGGAAGCGAGAGAGAGCGTCCATTCCATTGGAATGGACGCTAGGTCTGAAGTGATCAAGTGGAAAAAGCGCAATGGGAGGGGACTAGTAATTTAGTTGGAAAATTGTGGGAGGATACCTTGTTGGATATTTTTTTGGAAATTGAATTTTCGATACCCTGAGTGGAGAGGGATAGGACTTTAGTTTCACAGGTTTGAAGTTAGTCCTATTGTTGAAAGCTGTTACGTATCCACCATTTGCCGCTGGTTCCAATTGGACGACTTGATCCTAGCTGCCTTCAATACTAGACCCCGAGCTTCCCCAGTTAGGCCTAGTTAGGCCTTCCTAGTTAGGCATTTACAGAATGCGGGTGACATGAGTTGATGTAGCAAAAGGTCATAAGGTCTTTGAGTTTCCTCCGTGGTTGGTTTCCTGAGAGAAAGGAAAACTCCTTTCATGCAGCTTTAGGGAGGCGAGTCAAAGTCTTAGTTGCAACTTACTATCACAACTTTTGTCTTTATTGTTTATTCTTCGAAGTTCATTTTTCTTTCATTCTTACTTTTTTAATTATTTTTATCTTGGTTGCCAGGTCGGTGCAGGCACTTACCAATTGTGCAGGAATAGCAGACAGATACCATTGCCTGGGTGGCAGGGCCAGGATGACCTCATCTCCCATATGGGCTTCGCATCGGCTCCGAGTCCACTTGCTCCAACTACTACATTTCCGCTCCACGGACTCCACATAATCAGGGACAACTGGGTGGACGCGACTAACGTCCCCCCAAAGGAGAGTGCTGAGGGAATCTGGGGATGTACGATGGCCAGCGACTCTGATTCAACACTTGTCACCTCAACCCGGATGGGGACTTTTCCACCAAGAATGGTTATTTTTGGGATATGTCCCTTATTTTGAATGAGACTTGTGGATGACATTATCGTAAATGAAGCAAGTAAAATGCACCAATTCTATTTCAGGTGTTGGGTGAAAGAGGAGGCCTTTTATCAGCAGGAGCCTCCCTCTCCATCGGCTCCCCGCTCAGCATCTCCAAGTGCACCGGAACATCTTGCCAAACATGCGTCATCTCCCCATTTCATCTTCAAGGCAACAAGTTCAGGTTAATTTCGTTCTTTTAATACTTTCTTTCAAGTCTTTCCAATTGAAACTAGGATTTTGACATTCTTATAGTCTGTGTGCGTTGTTCGTCGCTGCTAATATATTTTCTATACAGTGTGTTCGTATTTAAACGCGACATAAGGAATATTTTCCCGCCTGTAGGTGGAGGTCGGGGAACGCTGTAAGGCATGCCGGGTTAGCCTGGTGCAGGGCGTGCTCCAGACACTTCCATGGAGAAGGAGTTCTAGTGAGGTCTACCCGGACCGCGGAGAGGCTCCTCTTGTGGCCCGTCAACCATAACCCATAGTTAAATGGCACACTTGGGGTCAGTAGGGACATCTTTAATTGCAGAGCTCTGAGCTCTCAGGCTCGTTAGCATAGTCTGGAACCGTTGGCTTCAGAGTTTCGGATTTTTTCCCACTGATTAGCTGACTGCCTCACTCTAGCCTGTTTCGTTTGCTGAGCCTGTTTTTGCCTCAAAAATGAATTATATTAAATTTGTGTCTCAATGTGTAATTAAATAAATATATAAATGGTGCCTTTTGTAGCAAGCACCATTCTAAGTTTGAAGGCAACCACGGGACTACATTCAAATCAATTCAAACGTTCAAATCAGTGCAAACGTTGTCTACTTGATTTATATATGTATATATTGAAGGAGGTATTGTTGAAGATGGCAGTGTTTTAATTTTCTCAATTACATGTGTTCCATCGAGCTTAGTAATTGCTTTAGGTTGATGCATGGCAGCAATTATAATTAATGCTTTGTATGATAAATCGTTCTGCGAATTCGCTCTTCAATAGCTACTGGAATTTGATAGATTTTGTTTGATTTTCGAATGAAGGATTAATTTAATTCGGAAATTATCAGATTCATTGAATTTTTGGAGATATTGGATTTTCCCAAGATTGAATTGAATGGGACAGACTTTAGATTCATGGGTAGAACTGAAGTTAGTCCTACAGTTGAAAGCAGTTTAGTTTCCACTATTCGCCGCTCTTTCCAATAGGACACCTTTATGTTCGCTGCTGCTTTCTATACTAGACTGAGCTTCTCCAGTCAACGTGGCCATTTACAGAATGTGGGTGACATAAGTTGACATGGCCTAAGGTCACAAGGTTTTTGGCAGTTTGCTCCCTGCTTCAAGAAGAGTTTCCTCCTCGAGAGATCGAGAGGGGGAGAGGGAAGCGCCCTTCCTGCAGCTTCAAGGTGGTGAGAGAATGTGGTACTTAGTTGCAACTTTAGTTGACCCAGTTTACCTCACCATTTCTATTGCAGGTGTTGGGGTGGGAGATGAGGCATTTTTCCAGCAGGAGCCCCCTTCTTCATCGCCTCCCCACACAGCATCTCCAAGTACATCGGACACTCTTGCTGAACATGCGTCATCTGAAATGCAACAAGCGAAGGTTAATCTTTTAATCCTTACAAATCGAAACAAAACTATAGGTTCTTCAATGTATTCAGTTTGTGAGCTTTCTCACTTTCTCAATTTTTTTTTCGCTGTACCAAATTGCAATGTTTCTTACTGCGATTATTGTAAGTGTTTTATGACAATCTGCTGTGTAATATTGGTTCCAAGACATCTACAGGGTGTGTCAATGGCGTCTTTAAACGGCTGGAACTCGACAGGAATTACATTTTGAATCGTTTTTAAATTACTGCATTGGTTGATTTACCGCTCCTTTTTCCACTCCATTTCAATATCGAAAATGTATGGCCCATTGGAGTGAAGAACCATGAATTAAGACAAATACAAATTGTTAAATGGTTTCCAGCGTATAAGGACATGAAGCTATTCCATGTTTGCTCGGAAAGAAATGCTGAAAAATGCTGAAAGTGTTCGAATTGCGCTTGGAACACTGAATTATTTCATGGTGACTTAATTTTTCAGTGTTAATTACCGGACAAATGTGTTTAAATGTATCGTCTGGTATTCACTAGTATTAATCTTGTATGAATTGGTTTTTGAAGCAGGTGGGCTACGTCAATGGTGAGACAACTCCAAACGCTTAGGAAGATGACCTTGGTGGCCACCAATTCCGCTTGCAGACAAGGCCTGGCACTTCATTGCAGTGGGAGGCACAACTTCCATACGTCCTTATATGTCCAACTACTCCAACGAATCGGATCCAAAGGAAAGAAGAGGTTATGCCTGTACCCTTGAAGACACGTCGTCGGTGATCAGTGATCTGTCATCTTAAACTCACATGTTACTTCATTTAAAATTGGCATTTCTTGTGTGCAATTCCTATATTCGAGTTAACATTCTCTAAATGCGCTTGAAGTTCTTCTGTGACTGATGTTAATGACGGCTCGAACTGTTTTACTACATCTGGTCTACATGTTTGACCGTGCTTAAAAAATGCTTAAACTAATTTTCCTCATGGCAACATGGAATTCTGATGCTCGACACAACCACATCATGTAGATATTTTGGTGAAATTCTTAATAGAATAGCCTGGTGAGAGTTGAGTACAATAGCCTTCAATAGTGAATAACTTTCTGAAGGAAAATTTTATTTTGAAGTTTCAATCAAGTTGATCTCCCAGGCTTGTTAGCGTAGTGTGGAAGTTGGTTGTTACAGAATTTCGATTTTTCCCCCCACTCATTAGCTTACTGCTCCACTTCAGTCTGCTTCGTTCGTTGAGCCTGTTTAGTCCTCAAAATAAATTGGCGTCTAAGTATGTAAATAATATACCTATATATAGATACTTCGACGCAGATGTATTTTGAATGGGAGTAAAGAAACCGATACCCAACCTCAACATATACAAATAAGGTTAGCTTTAATGAAGACCAAATTTTTCCTAGTTGCCTTTGACCTAACCTAATGTGGCCTTGTCTATTCTAACCATCCTTAGCTAACGTGGTTTTAGCTTAACCCCTGACCTTAGTAACCTACCCTAACCTCGTCTAACTCCACTAATTCACGACAAGGTCACATTGGGTAATAACTACCATTGAAGCGAACTTCCGCCCTTCTAATGGTACGATAAGTGGTGGCTTTTGTTGCAAGCTCCAGTCAAAGCCTGATGGCAACCACGGTCTACATTCAAATCAATTAAAACGTTTTGTCTTTCATTTATATATGTATATATTGAGGTGGTATTGTTGAAGATTGTAGTGTTTTACTTTCCTCAATAACGTGTCTTCCATCGAGCTAGATGGATCGAGCTGTCGTTCTCAAATATCGCTTTTCAAGAGCTATTGGCATATAGTGGGTGACACAAGTTGTCATGGCCTAAGGTCACAAGGCCTTTGGCAGTGTTTGTTCTGCCCTGATTGTGCACTTACCTTGTTACCCCCTATACTTTTCAACACACCCCTCCCTCCATTCCTCGATTCTAACTACAGCTTGAAATCTGTTATTTCGCATAATCAAAAATAAAATATTTAATAGACAAAAGAGGGAAACCAAATAAATTGCTAAATTTTCTTTCATTGTTGCCGCAAAGACTTAATGCGCTTACCTTTATCAGTTTCTCCTAGGAGTACAATTTAGTTGCCTGGGGCAACTAAATGTCTGGGGACTAATTAATATATAGTTTTAATGGGGAAAGTAAAGTACTTGTGGGTCACTAGGCGACTTGGTTTGGTTAAAGGCAACTAAATGAAATTTGTCTCTGTTCAAGCTTGATTTAAATATTCATTTGGATGCATGTTCATTGAAAGCACACGATTTCCACACATTTTGAATTTTATGTATTTTTGTGCCAGTGAATATTTTTTTCCTGTCGGACGGTTTTTCCATATACCACGAAGGATTTTCGACAGAAATCAGTCTGAGTAGAATAGGAACAAGGTCAAGGGCACTCCGAAACAGGGTCACGATCACCAGTCATGCCCGCCAAGCCCTACTTCCCTAGGGAATACACACGTTCGTGAATCCTGGCTACGAATTGCCAAGGAAAAGAACACGGTATAACTATGCAATTAAAGGAAATGTATATATATCGTGACACTGAAACACAGATTAATCGCCGAAACAGTCGAAAACATATACGAGTTCGTGAGAATTTACTCACTTGCGAGACATCCCTATCTTTGAGGGGAACCCCGAGAAAACAGCGGCATATGGATCGTACCTCATGTTTCATTATTTTTTTTAGTTGTTTGAATTACGGAAACTTAAACCGCAGCAATCTTGCCACTCATCTCCCGTGTGGACGTGAGAGATGCGCGGCTCCGAGATGTTCAGGCCCGAGGTCAGCAAGAAGAATCTGCTAGCCGCGTGTCAGACATTTTGGTTTTGTGAAATGCAGCGACTGCACGTGCACATTGCATCGGTGCGCTCGGCTGCGTTCGAAATTCCAATTCCCTTACGAATCTGGCAGAGTCTGACCGAAGACGTGATATCGTTACGAGTATGGCAAGAGGACTGATATAAAATTTTGATGGGGGTGTGCCCAAAAGCGTTCTATCGTGTGACGTCATCTGTGCCATTAGATGTATTCGACCAACAGAATGAAAATTCCAAAGGGCGCGACTCGATGGGCGCCCGAGTTCAAAATTGATGCGTCAAAAAACTCGTGAAATATGAAGAACAGACAAGCCATCTGGCAGTTACTCGAACGAACAAGGTTCTCGTAACAAAAGTGAGATGGCGTAAAAACGCCGCCGTGATGAATTGTGTCCCTATGAAGTGACATATCGAGTAAGAATCGGCTCCATCTCATGGGAAACAAAATGGTCCACTTCTCCGTTCTGAATTTTCCAGGAGCCTCGATGACCTTTGATGGATTTTCATCCAAATGAATACAGAAATATCGGTTAGAGCACGTCGAGCGATCCAAGATACGCGTATCGCTTGCCACCTGTATCACGCCGTGTATCATCGCCTCCATCGGCAACACGGTCGGGAAGAGACTGTGACTATTTACGAGCCTTACTTGGCCTTAACATTCCTCTGTATCTGGCCGGATTGCCTCCATCGGTCCGGTAAAGAAACTCTGTCGTGCCGTTGTTGAAACCGGTGTCTCGCATCGAAAGTCGAGCCGAGGTCCCCCATCCGCTCCCCCAAGTTTCGTCGGGTTCACCCCGATCCTAGAGCCTCCCGTACGGCTGCAGTCGACCCAGGTGTCGGCCTCCGGTCTCCGGACCGGAGAGCGGACCTCGCCGGTACCCCACCGTGCCGGATTCGGTACTCCGGAAGGGTGGTCAGACGAGACCGTGACAGTTGCATGCCGGAGGGCTGCAAGATCATTTTCATCGATGCAGCCCACCGTTACCACTGGACGACGAGTAATGGTACCCAGGGAGGAGGGACAGTCCATGCATCTGGAGCGGATGTCGAGATTAACTTACACACACACACACACACACTGGGTCCGAGTGCCTCTCCTGGGGGCGTATTCACGAAACATTCTTACGAACTTTTCTCTTACGAAGAAAAAGTATTCATCAAAGTGGTATTCATGAAACCTCTCCTGCCACGAACAAAGTACGTGAGCAGTTCGTAATAATGCTGCTTAATTTTGGTATGCTCGAAAGCGCAAAAGTTTCGTATCTTTTCTTCGTAAGTCTACGAATGGTCCCGAGGTATCGTAGGTGTGTCGAGGCAATCTGCGGAACTCTCATCGGGTGTCTCGATTAAGGTTCATTCACACCGGGCGGGCAAGATTTTGTCTCGGAGGTCATGGTGTCATTCACATTCATCCAGTGTCTTAGAAGTAAGACGATAATGCTCCAGCAAAATTCTTTTTCCCCCTCAATTATTGAAAAATCTTTCAACAGAAGTCGGACAGTGGGAAAGATCTACTGCCTGCTACTCTCCCGGAGAAACTAATTAGATTTTACTTTCGTAGCAGTTCTCCGTGCAGAGGAGAGACCGCTCCCTGCCTCAGTCTCTAAATCCCATTCTTGCAATTTCATTTTTCCTACAACGATTGATCCGAGTTTCTTCGGCAAGACGTTCTTCCTTCGATGAGCATCCCAATATTCTAACTGGTCTCCAGTCGTGTTAAAACTTCCCGTAAGAGCAGAAACAACGGCGCGGAACGCGCAGAAAGTTTGCAGAATGCTCCTATGACTCGTGAGTCATGGTGCCAGCGTGAGAACCACCTTGCTTTCTACCCAGCAATCGGTTTGGTGGCTCCCAAGCGAAGGTTACGGTTGGCTGGTTCATCATCGTTGCTACGAAGTTCCACGTAATACCAACGGTGTTCGTAAGAACGAGACGAGGACTTGGGAAGTTTCGTGAATACCAAAGATACGAAGTTCATACGAACTTCGTAAGAATATCGCATTCTTACGAAGTTTTCATCAATACGGCCCCTGTGTCGCTCTGACGAAGATGGCGCGTTTCCGATTTTGGGAAATCTCGTTTTCGAGATTTGTCCACTACACGATTTCCTTCATTTTACCCTCAAAAAGGCCTGAAAATGCGATGAAATCCTCCGAGAGGCAAGGAATGGAAACCCAGGAACGAAAAGCGTCCGCGAGTACGGTTCGAAATTTCACCGTGGAATCGGATTTCTCACCCCGAAGAGAGCTCGTCCTCACGGTGAACGTTTGAAATCGCGAAAGGAACCTTGTATGAGCATGAGTAAAGTATCCTTGCCATGGATACCTACGGACCCCTTCATCTCAATGACGTTATCTACTGGGTATGGTGGAAATGATAAAACTACATGGAATACATGTATTGGGTGGGAAAGAAAGTCTTGCAACACTGCGCAAATTTTTCAAAATTTTATAACTTTATTGAAATGCAATTTCAGTCTACAATGTAATGACCATTGTTGTCTATGACATGTTCTTAACAAAACAAAAATACGAAAATATTTAGCTTTAAGAGGGTTAGGCCTACCCTAAGATAAAGGAACGCTCGACCTCGACACATGATATCGAAATGGGCGAAATCGCCTCTTGATATCACTAACTCTCCTGACTCCTGACTCCTGTGAAGTGACCAGAGATTTCCTTGTGAATTGCCTCGTCTAAAGAAACCTTGTTATGTTCGGTCATATTATCTTGATTAGTCTTCGTGAATCATTATTTAGTACTTTGGTAAATACCGAGTGGCTCAAAAAAAAGTTGCAAACGTCGTGCGGCATCAGACGAGACACAATGATGAGCATCATCTTGAAATGTTCAGTGTGTCATACCCAATATAGGTAAGTGGCTTTAGGAAAATTTCAATGAAATTCCTTGCTCTGAACATGAATAAGAGCTCTTTTCGTACAAATCGTCGAATGAGCAAGTGTGCAGTGCGTTTGCTCGCGTGCAGCTTTGGCAGGCGACCCAAGAGGGGCCCACATACATGTAGGACCCATCAAGCAGTTCTTTCACTGAGTTCAGGTGCGTTCATTTGCACTCTCACTCATTGCGTGGCGAAAAATTGTGACTTATGTACACTGTAAAAACTCGACCCATAAAGATACCCATAAATTATGAGTAACCAGGGAATAATGGGAATCATTATCAGGCACGGGATGCACATGAGGAACACTGAAACCCATAAAGGTTGTTTATAGGTAAAATGGACTCCTATATGGGGAACCAAGAGGGAAACCATGCAGCACTTTTTTCTCCCTTTCCCCTCGCACCTCCCGGCCTCAAGTCGATGTAACTCATACTTGGGTGGAAACCCATAAACTCTTTGGGTATGTTTTCTGTTTTAAGAATAATTTTATAATAGATTTTCTTTTGTCAGGTGAAGTGCAAATGAAAATTGTTGCCGATTGTGATAGGCAATGGCATGAAGAATAGGATTTGGCTCTCCATCCATACGTTTTATTCCTGTTTTAGATTATTTAGATTTTTTTTATTACTTCTCCCCCAGTTATCCATAGCTTTATGAGTTGCCATCCTGTATTCGTACCGTCCTTCCTCTTGAGCCTATACTTTCTTGAACAAGTGTATGAAAGAGCTCTCAATGTTGACTTGGGGTCTGTTGGATGTGCATGCGCGAGTGACTACTTAAGTGGCAGAAGATGGGTAAGTTGGATGACGCGTGGGTGGGAGGGCGCTTGGGAAAGAAAGACAACATGGCTACTGGGGCGTGTGCGCGGGTGATATGAATTGGTCCGATGTGCATCCATCCTTATGTTAGTTTTATTATGTTATTAGCATAAGCCGCAATTTGTACTATTGTACTATTTGTAAGTCTAGGAGGGCTATCAGTAATGGAGGCCTAATGTTAGGCTTATAGCACTTATGATGAATCCATTTAGATAGGTCCTGCTTATCCTGACCATAAGTTACGCGTAACGTTCTTGGGGAACCTTACAGCGATTTAAAAATGACTTCTGACCACCTCTAACATGGACTCCATAGACTTCATGTCATTTCTAAAGTAAAATTGTATACCATCGCCTCAAATGTGTCGTGGAAATAGCTTTGCTCTGTGTAAAAAGTGGTGCAGATTCATTTGCAAACACTGTATGAAACAGAACTGTGTCTTCTCTTATAGTTGAGGCATACCTTGACTTAAGATACCTATTATCTCTATTGGGTTAAGACTAGGTCATGAGAGAAAAAGCTTATTTCCTTTCCCAGTTATTTATATAGTACTTTCCATACTGGCAGCAGTTTCAAGTTTCTTAAGGATCATGTCCAACTTAATCCTCTATGACCTCCGAGGCATCAAGCGAGGACAGTGCAATGATGCCAATTGTGACTGTGACACTTATGAAAGGCTTGCCATGGAACCTCCAATTTGTGATTTGGGAGGCGCTTTTTCCAG